AGAACCTCTGTCAAAATGAATGCTTTCAGTTTTGCAGGCAATCATTTACAAAAAATAATGATAAGAGATATAAATATCTATTGATATAGATACCTAGCTATAGATAGCTAGGAGCTGTGATAGCAGAAATATTCAAATGTGAGAAAAGGGAAGGAAATCATAAACCAAAAATTCATTACCAGTCTGAAATCCACCCATAACAGAATAGATTCTGTTAAATAAAGCAATACAGTGCATGAGTCAGCTCCATGTTTGAGGAGAGCTGTCTCTCTCTCTGTAGTAGTTGGGCAGTACAATGGGGCACTGCCTGTGGTGACCTCCTGCAGTGTAGCAGATTTGAGCTTGGAAACTGATCTCTGTGCCTTTGTGTCTCTTTCTGATTTCACTGCACCCAAATATGAGCGGACAGCCTTATAAGAGAGAGAAAATAGCGTGTAGTGAGGGATTTCTGTGTTAAATATTAACTGATCACTTAGTTGAGAAATTGAAAAACATTTGCAGAGATGCAGGCGGTCTGCCTAATTGTCAGCGGAATGCTTTATGACATTGCTCAGAAGAGATTGAAAATAAAGTCAACTGAAATTGGGCAAGTCATGACTCTAAACATCTGATCTTGCAGATTCTCAGTGCAGCCAGCATTTGACAGCCAATTCTCTGAAGGTTATACCGTTTGCTGGGACTCAAGGGAGAGAGTAGGATTCTCCTCTGCAGTAGTGTCTTTCCCAGATCAGGAGGACACTTACTAGATGATCACCCAAAAACTAAAAAAATTAAACTTCCTCTGTTTTCCAGTGTCACTTTTGGAGACAACTGCATGCCAAGGAGGATGAGTTGTGATTGCAGCACTGAGGACTGGAGTCAGGAAATAGTTGTGGATAGGGAAGATAGGAGCAATGGAACATTGTACAAAACAAAGGAAGAGAAAGGAGTTAAAATAATGGATAAAGTGTCTTTAACTACCAAAGTAGACCTCTCTTAAGACATCAGGAAGCTCATGCTTTCTAGCAGACTTGTGGGCAAAGATCTGGTATTTGACACTGGGGTGAGTGCTCCTAGTCCTTGGTTAACAGCCTCAGCTCTTGGGCTGTGGGTAACAACTGAATGTCTGACAACTCTGATAAAAGGTAAGGTTTGAAACTCAGGGGTATCAGGATACTCATGATGTTTACGGCACACTTCAGCAAGTGATTCCAGGAGAATGTTAATCCATCAGTAAAACAATAACTTTGACATTAAAAATATCAGACGATTTAGATTTAAATCTAATAGTTTTAATGAAAACTGAAAATAACCTGCATGATGGATTTTTTTTAATCTTTGGTTCTAGAATGCCTTTAAAATCTAGGAAGTTTTACTGTAAAGGTTACAGAGTCAGTTTGTCATGAGTTGAAAGTCACAGCATCCTGGCTGCCTGTTGAACCTTACAGGCTTTAATGCACACATGAAGCACTGCCCAGTTTAGACTTTGATCAAAAACCACTTTTCCCAACTTCCCAAAGAAGTCTTGTTTTCATACTGCTTTTGTGAAAACTTTCTTTTGACGTATTCCACATCCTTCAGTAAAAAGAAAAGCTCAGAAAGAAATCCTGGACATGCTGAACATGACAGTTCTTTTTGCTATTGACCTTAGGATTGCAAGCATACCACCCAGATTTTTTTTTCCCAGTAGTTTTAAACCCATCCTGTTACTATCTAGTCAGTAGAACAAACCAGTGCAAAATAATGTTATGCCATAAATCAATATTATTCCTCAGTGATGTAACCCATTGCCTTATCAATTTCCTTTCTATCTTCTCTAGATCAAGGTAATGTGGCACAATTAAAAAAGATGAAAAGCAGAAGGGCATTATTGTGTAATCTTTAAAAGAATGCCATTCCTAAATGAAGAATATAGTTATGTCTAGTCTTTGTTGGATGCACACGACATGGTATTTTATATAATAAAGTCTGTCTTCAGCATTCACTTAGCTCTGCAGTATCACAGTGAAGAGAGCTATAAGACTGCCTAGATAGAAAGGCAGCCACAATACATTTAAAAAAGAAGATTCTGACATATTTTGTTTCAGGAACTTTTGAACAGCCGGTGTAAGAAATTAAAACATCCCTCTCTCAGTTTAACAGTACCCATTTGTTCACACACACTTTATCTAGCCTATACCTAGTTGCCCAGAGGTAATATTTACCATTATAGAACAACATTATTTTGATATATCTCTTTGATAGACTGATCTTTTGTGTTGATGTATTTGTAAGCATTTACAATGAGTATTCTCTTTTATGTAGGTGATAAATACAGACAAATCTGGGGAATGAGACCATTGCTAGTATACCCAAAACCTTGCAGCACTGGGCCCTTATGAAATATTCTAACCATGTGTATTTATGAAATAGTTTTTTTTAAGGGTGTACTCAGCTTTGCATGACCTTTAAACAAAACAATGTCCTTGTGCTGGGTTCATTGCAAAATGAAAACATGCAGCATGGTAGGAGTCTCTGAAAAGCTTTGACAGAGCTTCTAATACAGCGTGAGTGAATGTATTATGACAGATGTCCATTCCTTGTGTTAGAGAGGTGAGAATTCATGTTTAATCTTTGAGATGTTTGACATGTCAAAAAATATCTGTCTATCTAGGTAATCAACAGTGTAACAAATTATTTCAATCATTCTTCTTTCCCTTTTTATTTATGTATCTTCACACTATAAGAATTATGCTCTATTTCTATTTTTCAGAAATATAACGTTACTAATAAATTTCTGTATGTATGTCCTCTATTACTTTATTTATATCTTCATAAGCCAGAATAATGCCACATATACTGAAATAAAGGCAGTGGAATGAAATCAAATGAAATGACCATCAACTAACAAGTGGAATGTTAGAAAGGTGTGCAAGGAACCAGGTATATATCTTCCATTAGTCCAAAGTAATGTCTGTTATCTGACTGGATGACTTCACAGAAACAAGATATTCATAACTGTTATTTACTGAGTGCTTAGGACAAGTGGCTGTACTCTATGTACCTGTCCCCAGGTGTAGCAAGTTATCTGCTCTAAATCTGAATTTAGCTGAGTATGTCAGTTTAACATAAGAGATCTTAGAGGTAAATATGGGATTAATATTTCTGTACAGATGGCATCACTCAAGGGTGGAAGCACAGCAGAGTTCTTGGCACTGAAGCTTAAAATGTCAAGCATTATCTGTGTCTATGCTTATGATAACTCTTCCCCAGAACTCAGAAATTGTATATTTTATGATGGTGTTGGGAATATGTAAGATGCTTTCTAATCCTCTGCAGACATCCAGCTAAATTCCTGATCAAATTTCTGTGTGACATGAGATCTATTTTCTTCTGTAGTACAAATGTGTACTTTTCCAGCAGGATCTCTAAAAGCTCTTCTGGACATTAATGGTCCTCACTGAGTCTGCAGAGGCTTTTTACCATGAGCAAAGAAATAGGATTTTTTGTAAATCATCAGCAAGGAAGTATTTATTTTTGTTTTGTGGATTTGGGTTTTTTTTTACCATGAGCTAGGAAATGGTTTTTTTACCATGATGTAGGAAGTGAATCTTTTTTGACAGGAAGCAGTTACAAACTTCTGCAAGTAGGTTTTCCTCATCTTCTGCAGTGTTTTTCCATATAAGATCTGAAAAGGTCACAAAACTTGTAAAGCACATATTGTGCATTATACCTGCAGGACATGCTCTACATCAAAATTTCATTGATACTTTCCCATCATCTATGTTGAAGGGCTTCTGTGTTGGAGAAATCACTAAGACTGTAGCTGCAGTACCTCAGTGCAACATCTCACTCAAAGTCAGGGCATAATGGCATTACAAGGTCTGCAACAGCTGCTGCAGAGATATATCCGTGACTCATCTGAAATCCTACTATGAATAAAGCACTAATCCAGCATCATAACCTATTCTGCTGGCCAGAGAAAAATGCTAAATTTAAAGAAATCTATAATAGAATTCAAATGTAGTGGAAGGGTTGGTAAGATTTCAAAAAAGTCAAAAAACTCTAACTATTATCCCAAAAAAGGAAAATTGAAGGGGAAACGAAAAAAACATCTCAAAGTCTTCCATTTCTCTTTTAGTTCTCTAGAGATAGCAGCATCTATTTAGACACCAGGAGACTAATCTAATGTTTATCTGAGAGAAAAGGATCATAAAATGAAGACTGCCAAGTAAAATTACTATTACATCAGATGTTTGGAAATTAAAGCAGATGATTATTCAGGTTTTGAAAACCAGAACAATATTCACCATGTGTCTAGTTTAACTAGTTCATCTAATGTCAGCTGCAAAACCTCCATCAGCTTCCACAATACCTGTTTATATCTTGTTTCTCTTACCAAACTGATTTGATTTTGACTGTCAGTTTTCCCTGTAGTGCTCTGGAATAACTGAATTCAGTGTTATTGAAAGTAAAGTTCAGCATTAATAGAACGGAATGCAGTTTATACAATGTCTCAATTTTAATAAGCTTATTTTTGGCTTTAAGACCCACTGAGATGGTGATCTATTTATATCTCAGCAATATCAGGCACAGCTGCAGTGTGCTTAGGACCCAGAGAACTGAGTGATTCTGAACCCAAATGGAACTCTTTGGAGAGCTGATTTAAGGGGAAAGAATAGTTTGCCAAGGAAAAATAGCAGAAAACCAGGAAAGAAAATGTGTTTTTGCTAAACTGGAGCTTTTCTGGGAAAAAAGTAAAGATGCTTCACCCTCTGTTGTGGAAGAGCAGCATGTGTTCAATTGACAGTGTTCCTAGTTTACTAATTGTTTTCTTCAGTAAGCTAGAAGACAAAGATGAATTTAACTCCAGATAATGCCTCTTGTTTCCTGCAGTGATTTCCACAATTTTCTCTTTACCAGTAAAATGTAGCTGATAATACCTTTTGGAAACAATTATAAAGTTCTTAGTTTAGAACAAATGAATAGCATTGCTCACTTTTCATTCTTCTCTATTAAAGGAGCAAATATAGAAAACTAAGTAAAACATGTTTTAAAAATAACAACCTATAAAATTTTGTGTTATTTTACAGTCACGCTAAGCATTTCCTTCGTATTTATGGAGAATCATTTTAGTTATGGAGATGACTTGAGTCTAATGATTGGCAATGTTGCATGATTACTCAGCATGTAGAAATCAAGCACAAACTGCAACAGGTGTGTAAATCAAAGGAATGACTCAGCATTCAGCACATAACCTTTGCCTTACTTTCCCTTCCCAGAGGAAATGTGGCAGTGAAAAGAAATTGATTCCTTTTCCCCACAGGGAAGGAGCAGAGGGGAACAGAGACCTGTTCAGGTTCCTGCAGGTCCTCCACCTTTCTCTCAGTTCTCGTGTGTGTAGCCAGCAGTCTTACACCCAGAACTACTGTTCTTACTGCCTTCCTCTTCCCAGTGAGAATTGCCTGTTGCCACCTGAAATAAAAATGTAACCTCTGCTACAAAGGCCATACTGAGGTGTCAAATATATGATGACAGGCCACGTGTGGAAGGCAAAGATAGATGCAGGGCCCATCTAAAGAGGAAGCTGAAGAGTTTTGCATGGTACAAGTGTGTTGGTCAGTGCAAAGCTCCTCTGCTTCAAGAAATGTTGCTTGGTCTCAAGGATGAGACAGGTGCTTCGAAAGCTGGATTCCTGTTGTAATGCCTGAAGAGTCAAGATAAAACCAAGGAGACACATACACTATTGGATTCTTGTTGACTGCACGAGAACATTATCTTTACTTGGCTTTGTGATTAAATCATTCTGGGGATGGGGATGCTGTCGCTGAAAAAGCACCTGTTATAAACTACATTTGAAAGGTAATAAAATTGATATTATCAGTTGAAGTCACTGCCTTTACACACACAGTTGAGAGTAAAAGAATCAGTCCTGAGCTTAAACACAATCTCTGAGCCAACCAACACTTTTAGCATGCTTTTTTTCTGTCAAATGAGAGTTTGATTTTAGTCCTGTGCATGAAAATCCTCTACATCTATGGAAGACAAATGTCCAATTTTAATCCTGCACTATTTTTGAAGATAATACAGGCTGAAAAAAAAAAAAAAAAGAAAAATATTAGCCGACAACAGCAGCGTATGTTCCATATGTAATGAGAGCACAGAATGAAAAAAGCCCTTGTGAGTGGTCATTTATGAAACTGAAGTAACACATTCATTCATAATGTAAAGGGGAGTACTGGCAATCCCATGATATGCTGGTAATCACTTTCACAAAGATTAGTATAGGAAACTCATTCATTCCCAATTCTGCAGCACTTATGAATTATTCAGTTAATCCTGTTTGAGGAGATAAATGTTGGATGCTATAGGAGCACATGGTATGGTATTTAGTAATTTATTTTGATGTTTGAGAGGCTTCAAATTTGCTTTTCCAGAATGCCAATTATTATTGCTTTAGTTCCTGTACTTTGCTTCTTACCACTGAGTTTACAAGAACCTCCATGTATTTCTAATTGACAAGTCTTCTGAAATGAATCAATTAAAAAGAGTTTGATGTTTTAAAAAGTTATTGTAGAAATTCTATCTCAGATATTAACAGCATTTGTCAGCCACAAATAAACACAGCTTATCTGGACTCTTTTCACGCCTTGGAACACTTTCATTAGGTTTTAAAATTTTTTAATCTAGGTTTTATGTTGAGAGTGATGTAAAGTTCAAACTGATATATGTTTACAAATTGGTAAAAATCAATAAAATTTGATGAAAAGTCTGGCAAAGTACTGAATGAATACTCATTATTTGTTTGGATGAAGAAAGTTTGACTGATTTTAAAATGCTTGCTGGATTACCAAGCAGTGCCTCATGGCACAGGTTACTGCTACCTTGTGCACTGTCTCAGGGCTGTAGTCCTGAGACTCAGTGCATTGGACATTCTTTTTAAAACAGTCCATGTATTTTATAGAATACCCCTTTCAATTCTTATTTCACCATGAAATGCATAGTATATTGGTTCAAAGCCAATATTTATATGTTTAAAGTGAAGATGTCACTGCTCTGTTGAGTGCTTTTCTTACTAAAATTGTGCCTTGATTACAGCGGGGGCAAAAGGGATTCAGTGAACAGCTCATACTACATGGTTGAAATGAGAGATGCCCTTTACCTCATGCAATTTTTTCTTTTGCAGTCCTTTATCTCTGCAGCAGACAGTTGAGTGGCCAAACAGCAATGCTATGACACTGGGAGCTCCTCCATTCCCCTGCTGCGGTGCAACCGTGCTGTCTCTGGCAGCCACAGCCAGCCAAGCAAATACAGTTGTTAGCTGCGTGCTAGGATCAAGAGTTAGCTGCTAACAAAAAGACCAGTAGTTTTCCTAAGCACTTGCCTTCTAAGAAAAAATCTGGCCTTTCCTCCCTCATAGAAACATCTCTCATTCTCAGCGTGTGCTTAATCTGTCATCGTCTTCTTGAAAAAAATGTGAGGATTGTTTGACCTGACATAAATCCTGTCTCTGGAAGAGCAAGGCGAGTTGGCTGAAAGAGTCCCTGTCAAAAATGTTTTTCTGATAGCATCACAATACGAATGCACCTGATTATTCTGAAAATACATGGGAGAGCATGTGTATCAGGAAGGTGCTTGATAATTCTGCCACAGATTTAACCATATAGGAGTATCCAGTATCTGAATGACAATCCATCTGAACATAAGTGAAAAAATAGTTTATGTGCATGAATCAGTTCATAAGAGGTGGCTAGTGTATTAATAGCAGACCAGTTTCTCCATGGTCCTTTGCTCTGGGTAGCTGCAGGGCTTCTTAATTTCCGCCCTGGGAACCACTACACATCCACCCCAGCAGTCCTTGCCTCACCAAGCCTCCCTAGCCCCATTTCCAGACTCACATCTTTCTTCCTGAGAGCTTCTTATGTCTCAGAAAGGGCAAAGACTGAATCCTCAAAACAGAATATAAAATGGCTTTTGTGCATATGGGACACATGACAGATACAGGCCCATATTTTTTAATGAAAACAAAGAAGGAAATAATCTCAGATAATTTGGTGTGCCCATGTCCCAGGTATGTTAATTATTAGAGGCAAAAGACAAAAAGAAGTGCAGCTTCAAATAAAGTACTACTTTCATATTTTGGTACTACTTTCATATACAAAATATACTGGTATATTTTGTAAGAGTGGTATATTATGTAAGAATTGGTGCAGATACAGCTGTGTTGCTATAATTGTATGTTATTCTCTGGAAATTCTTATTTCTGTGGAGAAGAGGAAGGGAATGATGGATGCTTTAATGCAGTGATAGTTTTCCATTTTTTGTTTATGAGTAGGCCTTGAATTCTCCTCCCGGGGTTTACATCATTATATTTCTACTTGACCTGAATTTTCCGTGACATACTTTGATTTTGTGACACCATTAAGTTTATTTGGCAATGGAGTTTTTTCATCCTAATAACTCGTCTGTTTTATTTTCACAGAATGAGACGGAGACTAGAAAGAAAAAAAAAAGTAACCATAAATGTCCTAATACTTTCATAATGTTTTATTTCATTTAGCCTAGCAACTCCATTGTGAAGTATGCTGGTGAGCAGTGTTGGACCTGGCTGGAAAAAGATCCAAGTTACCAGTTATGTGTCACATTAACAAAACTGCTTTAAGCATGTAAGAATCCAGGACTGCACAGGATCCATGTAGGTCAAACTTTGTTTTCTATAGAAGAACTGAAATGTTCTTAGGCTTTTTCCTACTTGATTTTTTTTCCCCCCATCAGAACACCAACATCTTGATGAATGTGTGATTTTTACAGAAATGCATTGCTTCGGTTACCTTTCCTTGTGTTTTTCTCGCATCCCTGAACAATACCAGATGCAGCCCCTGTATTAAACATTTTTAACAAGGTGTTGATCATGCATTTTCTAATCTTGCCTAATTTTTATTTATCTCTGTTTTCTCTTTTTATCTGCTGTAGTTTGGTGGTTAAGTTTAATTAACTCACCTTGTGGAAAACTTCTCAAATTATTTCTGCTAGCAGGGATAATAATTCATCCAGATAAGTTGTCTTTTGTAAATTAGAAGATAGTAAAGATATTTACTTCTCACTGAATGGTAAAAGATATGTTGGTTTCTTCCTCTGTCATGCTGGGCCACATGTTCCAACTTAATGAGAACTCCTATCTTCTTTTCTTAAAAAAAAAAAATTTTTTTCACCCCTTTTCCTGGAACAGAGGGGGAAAACTGGTCAAATAACTGAATTGTTTTGCTTGGGCTGTTGATCCTGCTTCCTTTTCGGAGGACACATTTGAAATTTATATAATGTTGTATCATTTTTTTTCTTATTTCTTGTATTTTATATGGGAAACTTTTCTTTGCTCTGAAAAAATATTTTATTGTTCATCAGTTTCTGCTTTCTTGAAATATAGTTATACACTATACCAAATGGGAAAGAAAAAAGAAAAGAGGCAATGGTAACTGGAAAATGTAAGCCTCCATCTAGAAATTCAGGATCAGCCTGAGCAGTAGTGATTTTGCCTTATCTCCTGGCTTTGCCTACTTGGCTCCTTTATGACCTGAGACACTAAGACAGTAGGATAGCATGCATCCGTATCCCAAACATAATGGTAGTAGCCATAGCACTGAAATTCTGTTCTACTTTAAACTTTTTCTTTTAAACCAGCTACTAAATGGCCTTAGAAAAGCAATGTCCAGAGAGGACTGGGAATCTGATTGCGTCAAATTAACTGATCAAACTTTGCACTCAGCAGTTCCAGTTTGAAACATTTTCTTCTTCCTTTCACCCCCTTCCCCCCTTCCTGCCCCCAATTTACTCCTTCTTGCACTTATTTTAGCATTTCAAAACCTTAGAGCATCCATCATAAACAAGTATGGATAGAGACTGTAGAAGCTAAATTTGAAATTTCCTCCCCTTTCTTTTTAAAAAATACTTTTTTTTACACTCCTGCTCTTTAAAGTGTCTAGCAAATAATTATTTCACTGTCTTGAGTTTCAAAAGGGATTAGGATATTATCTAAATTCTATTGTACTTTGTTCTATGAAGAGATACTGCAATTTATAGTTTAATTGGGCAAATGGCAGTATAGGGAAAAGAAAAAATAGGATAAATAGGATTAAGCTGGTTTTGTAATGGCTTATATGTCAAGAGAGGAATGTAATATTAGACTTACTCTTCTACTTTTGGCTTCCTAGTTTCTAAAAATACAGAAAACTCTCCTGACAATTTGACAAAGAATTGCAGTTACTTTTAAATGCCACCCTTGAAAATATGTGAATGGATTTTTTGATGCCTTTTTTTTTGTTTTAGCTTTTTGCATTAGGAAAAGTCTTGCTACAGAGCACTGCTTTCACAGATAAATAGTAAGCATATATGATACAGAAGGTGTTCTGGTGATCTTGCTAATGCTCAGTGGAAGAGGAAGAAAGCAGAAGCAGACACAGTGCATTGCCCAGGCTCCCCTGGGATTAGAAAAGAAACATTTCACTCAGTGTTACAACAGCAGATTCCTAGTCCCTGATTATAGAAGTGTTGAGCCTTCTTCATTCTTTAGGGCTTATTTCATTTTCAGGGAGAGTGGTGGAATTTGGCTTTGGTGTCCAAACTGCCATCAAGATCTGTGTATCATATGCAACGCTGGACATGTCTCCACAGTGCAGATAATTTTAATGATTCTATTCTCTTGCGTTAAATCAGCACAAGTGTGACTGTCCACCTAGAAAATTAGAATATATTTATATATATATATATATATATATATATATATTAGGCCTTTGTAGCCATCTTCCAGATGAAGTGACTACTACAGATGTACAAGCTGTGGTGACTAACCCATGACTCTCCTCACTAGAGTCTGTTTCTCTGATAGATCTGCA